GCCGAGACCTCCAGCATGGCCAGGGAAGGGCCAGGACCCCCCATCCAGGCTGGACACCCACCGGGACAGCAGCTGCTTGAGGGACGGAGGCTGCATGAATCCCTGAGGAGCAGACAAGCACCATCCAGCCCAGTCGCAATTCCGGAACTGCTCCGGTGGCCCGGGCAGAGTCCATGAGCTCCCAGCACCACTGTGCTAGAGCAGGGAGCTCGGGGCCTGGCCGTGCCGCCGCTCCCGCGGCTCCGCCGTGCCCATGGTCCCCAGCGGCACCACCACCTCCTCCGGCTGGCAGCTCTTGTTGAGCTCCACCACGCGCGGCACCACGGTCGACCAGCGATCTGTGGGGAGGGTGGGAATTGGCAGAGCCAGGAGCCTGTGGCTGCTCCCTGGTCAGCCCCCAAATCTGCTCTCAAGGCTCATCAGAGGCTGCAAGCAGCATCCCAAGGGATGCTCCCAGCCCACGGCACCACGTTCACCTCCCCACAGATCCTGAGGAATGTTCCCAGCCCACGACATGGCGCTCACCTCTCCGCAGCCGGCCCATGGTGTGGGAGAAGCCGTAGTACTGGTATGTGTCATTCTTGCCCGGATCCTCACTGATGATGCCTAGATTCTGGTTCCAGTGAGACCAGTTCACCTCGTCCACCCTGCGGGGAAGGTCAGATCCAGAGGGGCTGCAGAGAGCACCTGGGAGCCAGGGCAGCAGCTCTGGCATCCACCAGCAATTCCACCTGCCTCCAGATGAGAACAAAGGACCCTACAAAGGAGTGAATTGTGCTGGCTCCCCAAAACACCGCTGGCCATGGTGGGAGAGGCTTGGCTGCTCCCCAGCCCCCGAGGGCACCTGCCTTTACCTGAAGCACCAGCGGCGGTCCGGCGTCCCGTCCGTGCCCTTCCCCACGGTGACCATCTCCCCTGAGCGGAAGGCTTTCCGCAGGAACACTGGGAAGGAGCGCTCGATGTCCAGGATGGTGGTGGCCCACTGCCAGGGACACCAGGGACTGCTTGAGGATGGAGGCATGGAGGTGCCTTGCCCATGGAGCTTGGGGTGCTGCAGTGTTGCAGCCCCCTGGGCACAGGCAGCCCCTGGACTCCCTCCCCAGCAGCCCCTGGGGTGGTACCTGCAGCTTCCATATGTGCTTGCTCTCCTTGGAGACTTGGCCCACGGTCTCACCCATGAGGGCGATGAGCATGTTGAGGAGGAGCACAAAGGTGAGGATGATGTAGGTGACGAGGAGGATGATGAAGACACCGGGGTACTTGGCACTCTCAAGCATCTCCAGGTCACCCATGCCGATGGTGAGCTTGAAGAGGTCCAGCAGGAAGGTGCTGAAGGTCTGGCTGTCCCGGCAGGATGGGTAGGTGGGCACTGTGCAGTTGGACTTCTCACTGCAGGACTCGCTGCTGGGACACGGGTTCAGGAGGGACACCAGGGCTGGGGGGGAGAAGGGACAGAGAAGGTGAGTCCATGGGGGCAGCAGCAAGTACGGGATCCACAATGGGCCCCAACGTGGATCTGTGCCTGCTGAGACCGTCTCCACCATGGGAAGAGGCAAAGGCTGGGTCCACAGGTGGGTGGGATGAAGCGGGGGGTCTGCAGCCCCCTGCCCAGCTGTGCTACAGGGCTTGTTCTTCCCCCAGGTCCCTGCTCCCAGTCAGGCCCTACCTGATGCGTAGCCGATCATGAAGAGTAAGTAAACCAGAAGGAAGCGGAACAGGTCTTTGAAGAGGATCTGCAAGTGATGGAGAGCAGGGTGAGGTGTGCTGGACTGTGGCACCATCATTGAACTGTGTTGCCAGGAAGGCCAGGCTGGGAGCAGGGCAGTGCTGAGCCACAGGAACCCCACAGAAAGCCTGGAGGATCCTCTTTGGGCAGCACATCTATGGGAGGAGCAGCCCTGCTGAGGAAGGGGAAGACCCCTGATCCCACCAGACCTTCTGGATCATGATGCTGTAGGTCCCTGTCAGCTTGAGCCCACGGGTGAAGTACAGGGCGTTCATCCAGCCCAGGACCAGCGCGAAGACCATGACAGCCAGGTACGCCTCGATGCCACCCAGGTACAGCCCCGCCGTGACAATCACCAGCACCGAGTAGATGAAGCTGGAGGAGAGTCGGGGTCAGACCCTGCACCCAGAAGCCCTGGGGTGTGGCAGCTCGTGGTGGTCCCAGGGGTTCCCTACATACTAGAGCAGCTGGAAGGAACCATCTATGAAGAAGGAGTTCACACCTGGGCACTTCTTCATGAACAGGTCTTTGATCTGCAGGAGAGAGGGACAGGTTGGAGGGACCAGGGGGAGCGAGTCCTGTGTGGCAGGGTCCCCGTGTCCAGGGCCACCACAGCAGGGGCAGATGCCTCAGGACACAAGCCTGTCACCCCTGGAGACCCCGAGGGCTCAGTGGCCCCACAGGAGGACCCCCTGCCTCACCACACTGACGTTTGTGCAGAAGAAGAGGATTCCAGTGAGGAGGGTGATGATCTCCCCAGCCAGGCGCAGGTAGTCAGCAGTGGTGGTGTATGGGTAGGGGGGCTATGGGGAGAGGACAGAGCTGAGCTGCTGCCCCATTCCCAGCAGACCCCCCTGCCAGGCAGTGCTGGCCTGTGGGGCTGTGCCACGGCACCCTGGGACTCACAGGGCCTTCCATGGGGCGGTAGTAGGCGACGAGGGTGAAGATGATCATGGCACTGAGGTAGGAGACCACGCTGATGTAGAAGGAGACAGCCCCAAACTTGCGCCACTTGTCGCGCAGCAGCTCATTGATGGGCTCCACAGCCAACATCTCGTGGCGGTTCTGGTGGGAAGTGGGTGCTGTCAGAGGGTATCTGCTCCCCCAGTGTCCCCCAGACCCCTCCCAGTCCCCCCAGTCCCTGCACACCTCAATCTTGCTGTTATAGACAAGGATCTCCAGCACAGACACCTCCTCCCCACAGGTGTCCAGTGAGGAGAGGTCATAGAGGGAGGAGTAGACGGGGCCGTACGCCCAGTCCTTGAACTTCCGTGAGAGGTGCCGGGCGTCCTCGTCCGTGATCTCCCGCCGGATGATGTGCTGGAAGATCTGCCAGTGGGAGAGGACTGCTCGCACACAGACCTGGCCCTGACCCGCTTGGGGTACCCTGCTTTCCTCCCACCCCATCCCAGGCACATCACCCAATCCACCCCTTGCACCGTGGTGGGCCCAGGGGGCTCCCAGGGTGCTCCTGGGGGGCTCCCAAGGTGCTGCAGAGGTGCAGGGACACTGCCACAGTGGGAAGTTCCCCAGGATGCTGCAGCTTTTGTATTTTTAATGACCCCCCTTCCCACCCCATCAGAGGCTGAGGACAGGCCACGGGAGAGGATGGACTGTGCCTAGGGCCTGGGGTTAATTAAGGAAGGGCTGGAATGCAGTGGGGCATTAATTAGCTGTGTTAATAGGCTGTGCATCCAGGTTTCCACCAGCATCTGCAAAGAAGCCGTGCTGCCAGCAGGGACATCCCCCAAGTGCGACAGGGCTCAGCCCGTGCCTTGGGCATGGCAAGAGATGTCTCCCCATGTTGGGGGTCACCGTACCCCGATCTTGCCGGTCTTGGCCGCCATCATGAGCGGGGACAGGCCGTCGTTGTTGAGCAGCGCCTCCAGATTGGTGTCGGGGAAGAGCTTGGCGCACTTGACGAGGAGCAGGTCGTACATCTTGGTGACGAACTTGGTGTTCTCGCGGGTGTTGTCGGCGATGGCCACCAGGGCGTGCAGCACCGTGTTGCCGCGGGAGTCCTGGCGCCGCAGGTCCGCCTGCTTGTGTCCGTTCTCCGTCAGGTAGTGCACGATGTGGGGCTGGTTGGTGCAGGCGGCCAGAGAGAGGGGCAGCTCGCCTGCAGGGACATCGGGGCTCCCGTCAGCCCTGCCCCGCTGCGGGGGCATCCTGAGGCACAGCAGTGACCCCTGGGCTCCCTCCCTGCTCACCGAAGTAGAAGTATCCGCCCTCATCCTTAGGCTGGAAGAAGCGGCCGCGGGCCTGGGCGTGGACGTCCGCTCCCTTCTCCACCAGCAGCTCCACGTAGTGTTTGCAGCGGCGCTCGATGGCGATGTGCAGGGCTGTCTGACCTGTGACGCC